ATTGTAAAAATGAGAGTTCGGGGATATAGATATTTAGATTTCTCAAAAGGTTGATACGTGTGGCCTCCTGATTCTTCGAACAGTTGTCATGCTTTTTCTCAAACATTTCTTATGTAAGACTCTAAAATTTGATTCTTTATCCACATTCCTACATATACCCGGGGAGATTTTTCTAAATGACCTGCCACTATTCATTTTTGGTAAAATGTCTATAATACCCTTAATCAAAGGATTTGTTATATTTTGCACAAGATATCCTTAATTTATTGGGATAGTTCTAAAATTCCTCTATTTCTTTCATTTCGAGTTTTAATATATAGTTCCATCCTTTGATCTAATAAATTAGCATAATCTGTAATATAATTGTCATGTAATTCACTAGGATTATCATATTCCTTAGATGAAATATCCATAGTTTCTAGTTGAGCAAAAATATTTCTTATTTTCCTTAATAGTTTTTCTAACAGATTATCTAATCCTTTAATTGTATAACCTGGCATTATTCAGATAATTCCTTGCAAGCTTTATGAATAATAATAACATGTTAGATAAGTTTTTTGCAAATATGAAAAGTAATAATCCCTACGATTCTTTCAAGATATTAGAAGAATTCTTTCTAAATTTAACAAAGACAATAATTTTACCTTACTTTTGATCTTAAATCTGTATTTTTAGAACCGAGTGACCTTCAGGCTCTGAATCTGCAAACTACTCCCTCAAACGGCCTTTTACCTCAATCGGAATTCTGCTATTTTAGCTTCTGCCCTTACTGTATCTTTTCTTAGAATTAAGAGTAAAGATCTTAAGTAAAGAAAATTCTCTCTTTGTTAAAGTAAAAAAGAAATTATCTTCTTCAATCTATCAAGAATCTATGGGATAGGAAGCTTAGAAACTCATATTTTTCTGATATCAAAAGATTGGGATTTTATTTCTATAATGATTTATACAAGATTTCTATTGTATACAAGGGGTTTCCAGAAAAACTGGTTTTGAAGAAAGCTTAAGGAAAGAGAATGGTTTCTAACTCGAGATGATCCATTCTTTCCTCAAAGACCTCTATTTGTACATGACTCAAACTCACTGTTATTGATCTATTACATCATTGCATATATCAGAATTTTGAAAAAAGGCTCACATGCCTCTCTATTCTTTTCCTTTTGGGGTCTACATTTTCACATGCATTTTTTGCTTTTTTATCAAAGTGGCATCTTTTCTTCTATTATTGCCTTTTCATCGTTGGCTTCATATGCAGCTGGCTAGATACTTTTTTATTATTGCTTTTCCATCTTTGGCTTCTTATGCAGCTGGCCAGATGCTTTGGTAGTGGTAGGTTCTTTTCCATCCATCAATCTTTCAATTTTGTTTACATGTGGGGCACTCCCTCAATCTGCATGATTCTTGGATTGTTGTTGGACTTCCACTAATTTGATAAGTATCAAATTTCTGGATATATTCTTTCAAAATGGTAGATTTTTCTTTTCCATTATTTGTAAGGAGTGTCCATCCTTCATATTGACACAAGCATCTGAATTTTTTATCATATAAGTTCTTTGCAATGTTGTAAAGAACTTTCATCCCCAAAACTCTTCAAGATTTTATCCATAATTTATTGATTTTAGGTAATGGTTTATTATTTCGACCAACTTCAATCTGGAAATCTCGACCAACATATCCAATTGTAATAATATGTTCAGCAGGATAGTATATCCTTCCATCAATTTCTGGACTTATTGAATAAAATTTGATATAAATCGACCTTCCTTGGGCAAATTTTGAAACTTCTGCCCTGAATATATCATCAAAATTTCCAATTTCTTTTAAGTCTTTTCCTGGATAGATCAAATCCAGAAATCCATAATCTGCTGCCATTTTGACCATGAAAGGGTCTGCATCTTTGGTAATTATTAATCTGGGATAAACATGATCTCCCAATGCAATAAAATATGACTCATTTTCTTCCAATTCATAAACAATTTTGGCAAATGATCTATATTTTTCTTCTTTTGATGATAAAGGGGTATCATTATCTTCATCAGTTTTGATTCTTATAACTCTTGTATGTTCATCACCATTTTTTATAGTTACCTTCCGGGGACTTGCTATGTCTCGTTTGATATTGCTGAGTCCACTACTGCTTCCTGACTGTGTACCTGTTTGTATTTTTGAAATTGTATCAATTGGTATTTCCTGTTTGGTATCTAATGACTCGAATTGTGAAGTAATATCAACAATTCTGTCATTCAATTCTTTGGTATATTTGGAATGAGAATTAGAGATTTCCACCAACAATTTGACATTTTGTTGGATAGATTTTGCCATTTCCTCTAACGGCTCAATTTCAATTTTCACATCTTCAAATTCTTCCATGAGGAATTTCATTCGTCTGTTGACGTCTATTAATGAATTTTTGATATTATCCATCTCCAAATTCGATATTCCTGCTCGAAAATCTGCAAGATAATTATTTATTCCTTTAGTATGAACAATATCAAAATTGTAGAATGATAAATATGCTTGCCATCTGTGTAACCTTCTATATTGAGGTTCCATAGGTAACTTAGTTCTAATAAGTCCTGCAACTTGAGAATTATCAGTTTCAACAACAATTTTTTTAGATAAAAGGAATAATGAAATTTTTTTTTATTCCTCTAATAATTGCTAATAATTCTTTTTCATGAGTAGTATAATTTATTTATGCTTGGTTAAAAGTTCTACTTGAATATCTACATATTTCATTTAAATCTGTTTTTTTAATATAGCTGCCCAATATTTATCCGAGGCATCAGTATTGACAATTAGATTATCTTTTTCATCTGGTAATCTCAATTTTGGTAAATTTTTACATTCTTCTTTTAATGATTTAACAATTTCAGTATGTTTTTTATTCCAACATTTAGTATTTGTTTTCCTACGTAGAATTTGTATCTTATGTCTCTTTTTTGAGAGATTTTCAATAAATCTTTTAGCATAGTTTAAACATCCTAAAAATTTTTGTATTTGTTCTTTGGATTTTAATTCATCTGGAAAGCTTTCTATCTTTTTAGATATATGAGTTTGTAATTTTATTCCCTTTCTATCATTGATAATCCTAGAAAATCTATTTCTTGTTTCTCTATTATATATATTTTTTTAGAAAGTACAATCACTTCCTTTTTGCATTCATTTATGAATTGTAATAAATGATTCATATGCTCTTTTTTATTATTAGAGCATATTAGTATATCATCAATATAAATAATAAGAAAATCACTATACTTTTTGAATATATTATCCATTTTTTTTGAAATATTTGTGGTGCATTTTTTAAACCAAATGGCATAACTAACCATTTATATTTTTCTTGAGGTGTACTAAAAGCTGTATATTGTATACTATCTTCTTCCATTTTTATTTGCCAAAATCCTGATTTACAATCAAATTTGGAATAATATTGTTTTCCTTTTGCAAGGTTTATTAGGACTTCTTTATTTGGTAAAAAGTAACCATCAAATTTAGTATATTTATTTAATTCTTTATAGTTTTTTATCATTCTAGCTTTTCCTCTTATTTAATTCTTTATAGTTTATTATCATTCTAGCTTTTCCTCTAATTTGCTCAGAATGTTTCATAACCATAAAAACTGGACAGCTATGAGGTCCATTACTGGATCTAATTAACTTTTGTTCTAATGGTTCTTTTATTTGAATTTTAAATTCTTGCATATCCTGTAAAGTATACATCATTGGTCTAACTCTTATTATAACACTCTCTGTTAATTCTATTTTAGCTTTAGGATGATATGGTTTCCAAAATAATAATGAGTTTTCTCCATAAATTTTTTCTAATTGTTCNACATGGATGATATTAATTTTATGAGAGATCTACTTTTAATGTAAATCATTTATAGTACACAATTTGATCTTGCGAAGTCTTCTATGTTTGGGAGAACAAATGTTCTTCAACAGCTAATAAATTTTCAGTTTTCTTATTCCTATTAAAAAATAATTGAATATATTTGCATCTTTTAGAACTTGTCCGAGAGTAATTTTCAACATTGTAAGTCAACTGATCGAGTCTAAATGCATTTTAATTATTATAACAAAATTCCAGTTGTATTATGCAGAGAATTAGGGTTCTATAGCCTAGAGGCAAGATTAGTCCAATTGTCTTATAAATTCATTATTTACGTTGCGCGCAGCCAATGTGAAATTTTGTTTGCACTTTCTCAATTAATGATTACATGACCCAAAAAATAAAACGATATTTAGAGTAAAATGTTCATAACTTTTCGAGTGTTAAAAACTTTTCGTAAGTTTGCCATGCTTGATTACAAGGCCAGTTTGAAGTATACTGCAAGTGAGATATATAAAACTGCCATTTCCACGTAGAAAATTTTGATAGACAGTGCTAAATGTTGATGAACGACAATTTCTTCTTAAATTATTAAAGACTTGGAAAGTGAATAATATCCATTTTCACTTGCAAAAGAGAAGTTAACAGACTGGCTGGCTAATGAACAATTACATTAGCCAGCCAAGTAATGAATTATCAATGATTTCCACATTTTAATCCATCGTAGAAAACGCACTATCAACATATAAGATAATAAAAACCGTCATTTTCTAGTTTGTGCATGGTGCAATGGGTATTATGGAAATCATATTTTCCCATTTGCATTTTTATTTTCTCTAATAAAAATTTTTTCCTAGTGATTACAAAGAATGGCAGATTAATCACTTCGTATTTAATTCAAACCTCACATTATGAATTTTTCAGAGTGGCTAGTTAATCACGATTCAGTCAATGATTAGTACTAAATGAGAACACTTCCAGAAGAAAGAAATTTTGACAATGTTAGTTGTTTAGAACTTATCTACTCTTGAAAATATACATTTAATTATGTTTCCAGGACTTGGCAAAATTATGTGTTGAAAAGATTAGTGGATGACTAATTCAGACAGGAAGAGCTGCTATAAATAGCAGTCCTCTCTCACAAAATAAGCATCTACAAACCACAAATATCAGTTGTATTCAACATGGCTGTTCGCTTACTAATTGTCGTTCTTCTTATCTCACTAGTTTCACTTACCCATGCATCCGATCCTGCCCCCCTACAGGATTTCTGTGTTGCTGTTAAGGACGATGAAGCAAAGGGTAAATGCATTTTACACTGCTAGAATAACAATGTTAACCCTGTGTGAAATACGCTAACTACTCAACTATAGAATACTTTCTCTCCTAGATACTAGACTTGCAATGCAGTTTCTTTGAGATATTCATGACAATTCTCGGTACATTTTATGTACTAAATTATGTTGGCAATATATATATGTATAAGGCTTAACAATGGCTTCTGTATTTCTTGCAGTTTTTGTGAATGGAAAGATTTGCAAGGATCCAAACATGGTTAGTGCCGATGATTTCTTCTTTCCAGGTTTGAATATGCCTGGGAATACATCAAATCCTCTTGGATCAAAAGTCACACCAGTGAATGTCAACCAATTACCAGGACTCAACACTCTTGGCATCTCTTTAGTTCGTATTGACTATGCACCCTACGGCCTCAACCCGCCACACACTCACCCTAGGGGTACTGAGGTTATTGTTGTTGTGGAGGGCACTCTCTATGTTGGATTCGTGACATCGAACCCAGCAGATCCAAACATGAAGAACAAACTCTTTACAAAGACTTTGTATCCTGGAGACGTCTTTGTATTTCCAGAAGGTCTCATTCATTTCCAATTTAATGTGGGGAAGACTAATGCCATTGTATTTGTTGGTCTAAGCAGCCAAAATCCAGGAGTCATCACTATTGCAAATGTTGTTTTTGGATCAGACCCTCCAATTAATCTTGATGTTCTCACCAAAGCTTTTCAGGTTGACGCGAACGTAATTAAATATCTTCAAGGACAGTTCTGGTGGAACATCGACTAGAAAACAAATATTTATATTGAGTTTAGCCTTTTCAACATATATCTTGTGGGTTTTAATAAATAACTAAATAAATATTGAGAAATGTCTCTGTTGTAGTCTTGTATGGTTTCTGGGGTAATAAAGATCTTCGAAGAACTTGCATTCACATGTAATCTATGTTTCTTGAAGCATATTTCTGAATTTTTGTGCAATCAATTTATAATACTCAATAAATTGTTTTGTTGTCAGCATATTACTTTACGACTTAATTTGTGAAACTCTACTTAGTCTACGTACTCACAGAGAATCTTATGTCATGATTAACTAGAAAATTTAACATGAAGTGTTACAATAGTTAGCCAGGTTATTATGTGAATTGTGCAAAATAATACACGAACTGCTACAATAGGATACCTTTGGCAAAAGAACCCCAAATCCCTATATTAGTACAACTGGTAATTTAAAATGATAACTATACACTGCATATAATCTCGATCAATTGACTTACAATGTTGAAAATTACCTCCCATTTGCTTGTTTGTTTTTCAATATCCTTTTGAAGCTACCGATATTTAACTCTTTCAATTAATTTGACTAATTGATGACAGAAAGACTGGAAGAGCAAGAAGATGCAAATATACTAATTTAACTGGGTATTAAAAAAAGAAAAAGAAAAAGCATTAGCTGTTGAAGAACGCTTCTTCTCCAAAACACAGAAGATTTAACAAGATCAATGTGTAAAATATTGGACCACTTCAAAATCATCTGTTTTACTTGTTCTCAATAAAATTTATATAAATCAAATCATTTCACGATCAAATGCTCAAATATATTCTGTAATCCAAATAAGTTGGTTTGTTAATTTACACAAGCTATAGGGAGAATTAAAATAATAATAAAATAAAAAATCAATGGTTAAGATGTCACATCCTACTTTTTCCTTGGTTCACCTCCCAGGAAATTAGTCAATCGTCATTTTCCATTCTCCACATTACAATCAATTATTCATATGGATTTTAAATATGAAATAATTGTGATTTTAAAGAGATGTAGCTAGGCACATCATGATGCCTTAATATAACATTTGCCTTTTTGGACTTTTTCCATGCATTAGTAGAAATGCCTGCCCTTACGACATATCTCCTTTACGTATAGTAAACACGTTTGAATTTATGTAAGGGCGAGATTAATGACTTACTAACTGCTTACTTTGACATAATATTCAAATCTACAAAAATATTTAGAAAGTCTAGATTGCATAGACCCTAAGAGGAAGGATCAAAAGGCTCTTAGCATGATTCATTAAGTGCTTAACAATATAAAGTTTCAAACTTTACTAGTCTTAAAGAGCTAGACACAAAAAATTTCTTTCTTAATTTTAATATTATTTTAAATTTTTAATCATTTTAAAAATCGTTTAGTAATTAAAATAATATATACCAAACATCTAAAATAATATATTTAATTAATAATTCTTACAATTAGTCAATTATACAATTTCCAAGTTTTCAAAATGCAAAAATTGAACTATTTTTTGTAGTTTTCAATTTCAACTAAACAAGTCCTACTTGATATTTTCTAACGTGTATTCATTTTTGACTTTCGTACAGATAAAATTTATTTAAAAACTTGAAGCTTAAGTCAAATAAAAGACTTTTAAGAAAAAAAATTAATACAGCGCCACTAGGCATTCATTGTCAAGGCGTAGCATTTCGTCCAAATCTTGCCTCTAGACGGCGCTTATGCGTGCTTTTTAGAACATCGGTAAAAAGTATAATTATTGTAATGAGTTATCCAAATTTCCTTATACATTCATTATTTACCTCAAATCTAAACAGTGTGAATTTTTCAGCTTGTTTGGCCCCCATTCTTTGTCAATATTTTTCAAAGGTTTTCAGACAATTGTGGGCCCCAAACAAGACAAACTCACCTTTCCTCTTACATTAACTCATTCCCCATGCCATATAGCTTTGACGTGACATTTACAATTTTTTTACCTTCCATTAATGCCCTTCACTTTCCATAGGTGGCTGGCACTTGTACCTCAATTAGAATTTGAGGGCAAAATAGACAGCTTACTCTCCACGGTATTTTTCCAATCAATAATGCTACTCATCGAGGTTTAAAAACCATGTTAGAAAATAGGGATTTGAATTTGCTGAGTTGACACTTAAAATACAATAAAAAAAAACAATATTAAACTAAACAAAAAGGGAAAAAGTAGATCAAAACCACAGTGATACAAAACTGGCTGCAGGAAAGGAAAAATCAATTCGTTCCAAACCCTCCCTCCCGCCGCCGCGCCTCCGTTGACCGAAGCACCCTTTACCGACTAGTATACCGCTACCATTCACTGACCAGTATACTGCTTGTCACCATCCAAGAAGTAAAAAAGCAATCGTATGAAGAAACAAGTCTGATGAATGCAGCACATAGCCAAATATCATTACTACAAAAACGTTATTTTGCATCAAGAGATTTGCGATGTACGAAAAGTTGTAGCAATAAGTGATTTAGCGCGTCACGTTTTTAAGATTTGTCGCAAAGATTGATGCGAATAAAATAAGTATAAAAAAATATAAAACGACATTAAAAGTTGTCGTGAAATATGAGAATGAGCGACAAATAATAAAGATTGTCGCAAAAAAAAGTAGAGAAACAAGGTGTCAAAATATTTTTGGTGGGAAACTTATGGCGACAAACTTTTATTTTTTGCAACAAAGTGTTTGTGATGAAATAGGGTCTGCTTTTTGCGAAAATAAATATTTGTTGCTAAAAATTCTATAAATGGAAGAAAAAATCGTTAGAAGAAAAACTATTTTGTGCAACGGACAAAAAATATTGTCGTAGGTCTTTCACATCACTCACTGGTATGTTGTAGGCTCTAATGTTGTCTTAGAGTATAAGGATACGGCAACGTGCAATACATCTTACAAAATGCCTCAAATGTACGTTTTTATTAAGTTTTTGTGACGTATTTCGCCACGTTGCTTTTTATTATATTTTCCAATACTCTTTGCTTGTTGTCTTAATTTTTTTATTTTGAAATGTTCTTCAATTTTTTTGTAACAAGTGTTAATTTTATTTTATTTTCATTTGGCTAAAGATTTCATTCTAATATGTAATATAATTTTTTTTTTAAATTTTAATTAGTTTTGATCAAGATTAAAATTTTTATAATAAAAGCTTTATAAAATTTCTAGAAAAAATTTATCTTCAACATAAAATATATAAAAAAAATGATATTCTATCTTATCAATTTCTTTTTCAAACTTAATTTCTTTTTTATTTTTAACAACCTTTTTTATATTATATGGTCCTCTCTTATATTTGGGTTTTTCTATTTTATAATTATTCATTAATAATTCTCACAAATTTTTAGAAAAATTACTTGTTAGATTTTTTTAAAGACTTAAATAGAAGATTTTTATTAGATAAAGGGTTGTTTTTTAATATTTGTTAAAGGGTGTTTTAGGTAGTTCAAAATGTTTATAAAAGTCAAAGGCTATTTTGGAAAATGGCTAACATATTTGGGTTATTTTCATGCATTTCCCCATATACCCGGCTGGGTTTTTATTAATTTTTTGGTATGTTCTCTAAGATGTATCGAAAATTGGTTCTATTATGAGCTTCTTGAGAAGTTATAAATTCAGTTCTTTGCTATTCTGTTCATTTTCTTCAAATCTTTGCGTGTAAGTTGATCTTTACTTGTCATACATGTATGTTGTTTTGAGATTTATGGGAAAACTGGCTCTGTAGATGAGTATCTTGAAAAGTTCTAAAATGGGTTTAATTTTATCGGTCCTTTGAAAATCCCTTTCTCCATTTTCTTCAAAGTAGGAAGCATAATTTTGCTTTTCTTTTCTGGAAAATCCCAGCAGTGTAATGAATTTGGATTCTTTTGGTTTTCACTAGTAACTTCAGCAATGGAGGACAAATCAGTCATTCAATGCTGTAAATTAGGAAGATGAAGCTTGATTTAAAAGTGGTCAATTAGTTCTTGTGAACTCAACAAGATTTTAGCATTAAAGAAATTAATATTGAAGAATTTGATAATTGGCCTTCTAGCGGCATTCCATTTAATTGCCATTTTTTGTGTTTCATTATGTTGCTACTCATTTCACGATTTGTCTTTATATGTTTTCATCTTATAACAAAAAACGAACTTTTTTTTTTTTTTATCTCGATGAAGTTTAAGAATTTGTTTTCGTTTCACTTGCTTGATTTAAAAATTTCATGAACTTGTTTTTAGTAACATATTTACAAGCACTAGAATTAATGAATCATACCTCTATAGGGGTGAAATAGTTTATTAGCCCATGCATTCTGCCAATACACTATACAAACAGATCTTGTAGATGCCATATGACTATGTTATAGTTTATTCTTCAACTTTTTGAAGAATTCGTAAGGCATCTTTATACAAATATGAGGGTTGTATGCAATGGCGAATCTAGAATTTTGAGTGAGTACGGACGGACGTTAACAGTTGACCATAATAAAATATTAAATATTAAATATAATAATTATTTTGAAAACAATTGAACATATATATTTTTGTTAGAAGTTGTCACGGATTTCATCAAATGGTTTCCTATAATTCAAAGCAAAGAACATAGGTTTGAATTCAACCAATTGCATTAAAACAACTAAAACAAAATATATATTATTCTGTTAAACTTAATATCAAAATTCATTGAGTGCCATGGTGGTTGAACTTTCAATAACTTTAATGATATGTTACAGGTTCGAATCTCCTCTCTCTGGCTTTAGTTTTAGTAAAAATTGTGACAATAAATTTGGTTATGCAGAGATTCGAACCTTGCACCTTAATTTTAAAAGTAGAGGCTTTAACCAAATGAGCTACTAGAGATGTTGAGAACAAATGTGAATTATCAAATATATATAAATGCTTATATCAACTACTGTCAACAAAAAAAAGTTCCCGACGAATCCAGCTGGGCGGCCGCCCTAGCTCACCACCACCTGGATCCACCAGTGGTTGTACGTTCTATGCCATGAAATCAAAAAAGTTTTCAAAGCTAATAAGCTAGCAAATGTAGCTAAAATAAGTTTATTAGTTCTAACATTAATACAAACCTAATAAACTAGCATTTTTTTTTAAAAAACTTGTAGCAATTATAATTTAGAATAGGTTATGCCAAAAGTGCTTTTTGTTTACCAATTCAGAAATCATTTGGAAAATTAATGTTTGCATGTTAAATACTACGTTCACTATGGTGTTTGCTGTTATTATTATTAGGTAGAAAAAAACTATGGGATTATACAAGTTTTAACAGCATTGCTCAGCTACTCACTCAAGATCGTTGCAGGGAATATTTTTAGATCTGGATTATAAGACAGATTTACCCAACTAGATGACGTATCAACTCCATGATATTAATGATCCAGATAAGGTAAATGTGTATCCATTTCTTTCTTTCTTCATGTGGTCTAATAATAATAATAATAATTCACGGATGCCAATTCATTTTACAGGTAAATGCCAAGATGAAAGTTGTTTCCCGATCCAAAGATGTAGCTGTAGCTTTTGAAGCCAAGAGCGCTCAAGGACAGTAGGTTGTTTTGGATAAGTAGGATATGTTTATATTAACTCTAATTTGTGCATAGATTACATATTTTTTCCTTAGCTGGAAGGAAGTTATTCCATTTACGGAACACAGTATTTCAATAGTTGTACCAATTCTTGTATTCGAGTTTCATTTATGTTGTTTAGAATTTTAGAAAGAAGGAATTAAATGGATATATTTGCAATTTTATGTATGTTTTTAGTTAGTTTTACATTAAAATTTGACTTGTACTACAAATGTTGAATATCTTAAAATATATTGCGCGACATATCAAATGCATTGTTAATCATATTTCGCGACAAACATGACCTGTTATTAAAGATATGTCACTACGATTATGTGCTATTGCAAAATAGAATAAGTAGCAAAATTTATACGTTTAAATAATATTGTCAACAAATACTTTATTCGCAAAAATTTTATTGCAATAATCGTCGCGACAAGTAGTTGATGCCCTATTAATTTTTCGCGACAAATATGAATGGCGACGATATTATTGCGAAAAATATCTTGTTGCTATTTCGTACTTTCCGCGTCAAACAAATAATGTTGTAAATTTATTAATACAATGAACAAGAGAAAGTTAATGCAGATTACATTCCGTGACTCATATAGCGTGACAATGCCCGCAACAAGCATCTTGTTGTCGCTAAATTACATTTACAACAAAATCTCAATTTTTGCGACAACATTTTTTATCGCGAAATTGATTATTTTTTGTAGTGTTATCTACGTACATTTTGTTTTAAAGTCGTCACTCATATATATATATTAATCAAATCTCTCTATTTGCAGCAAACGAAAAATTCTTGAAGTGAGTATCGACAAAATTGTTGGAATCATTGTAGTATGTAATTTCCATCCAGGGAATGCAAGCAATTGCAAAATCTCAATGATAGTTGCATTCCACTTATGAGCTTATCACTTTCATTTCGATGCTTGCAAAACAATCAACTTTCAATTCAATAGATAAACTAAAACCTTCCTTCATTCAAATGAAGTCGTTTTCGATGAATGAGAAGTTCGAACTCAACATTATATATGGACATGATCGAAGTCTCGATGGTCAAAAAGCTCTATGGCTCTTTAACTAGTCTATTATACTTTCCAAACTTGTTGCAACCAATTTTTCAAGTATCGGTCCCAAAGAATCGATGCAAAAGTTACTTTAGACAACTTAATTGGTGTTCTCCATTTTAAGATGGAAATTCGTTAGTGTAATACCAGAGATCGTTATAGTGGAAATGTCATAAGATCTGTTCATAGAGTTCCTTTGATGAGACTATGAATCCTCGTTGGCAATCATTGAATATATGTGGCCTTTCTCACGTATAAGTACTATTCGTAGGTAATTAGAAACAGAATGATGCATGTCTCACTCATTGTTCAATCAAAATAGTGACATCATGCTAATTTGGAATCAAACTCAAGATATTGAATAGTATATTACAACCATATATATACATTTGAGTTCGAGGGAGACTTGTGAAAATTAAATACTATTTGTGAATAAAAATCGCATTCATGCTGTCCTAATTATACCATATAAATATAAGGTTTTGATTCTCAATAAAATACATAAGAATTTTGACTCTGTTCTCTTAATTTTATTTTATTTTTTATTTTTATCTCTACTTCATAGTTTACTTTTTTTTTATTTTTCTGAGCTGATGTAAATTTCGTCAACCCCTAATTAATTTTTAAGCATTTCTATTTTTAATTATTTTGGGTTTTTATTAGAATATGGTGGAAAAGATTTTCTTTTACTTATTACATGAGAAAACAGGTTAGACTTGTAAAAGAACCACTTTTGGGATTTTTTTTTTTATTTTTTTTTGGATCGCTATTTGCATCTCGACCTTAGTAGAGAAAAGTTTCAATACTTTTAGAGTTCTCGTTTTTCAATTTTCATTTTTTTGGATATTATTTTAATTTTTCTCAACTGCCAGTCAAAGAATAACTTGTAGAATTTTTTATTTTATTATTTACCAAAGATATGTAATCTGGTCTACCATGGAGCAATAAGATCCATAAATGTGTCTTTATTTGATTTTTTGGAATAAGTTTAAAGGGAATTTTCATGAAAATTAAATAAAAAGACGTTCTCCATCTTTGTCGAATGACGTTTCTTTTGACCTCTAGTCAACAACATAAGAAAGTAGCTCGTGATTTATCAAATTGTGAAAGGGACTAATTTCACCATGTTTACATAACATTATGCTTTGTCTTATTTCATTTTCATCCTCTAATTTAAGTTGATCCCCGTGTAGTCAACTGTATTGCAAGATATTTATGTTAACTTCACATTCAAATATCTTGTCATGTTAATAGAGATGGTTCGTGCTTGTATATTTTATAAATGGTCCTTATAAAGTGATACCAGAATGAAAATATGCAAAAGAATAAAAAAACTGTAAATGTCCGATTTGTTGCCATTTATGCCAATTTCCACTAAAATAGGAAAAAAGATCTCGAAAATAATAAACTTTTGGCCAATAAAATGTTATCATACAAAGTTATTTCTAATTCATTACAGCCCCCATTAATTTATTCCATATTAGCTCACAACTATTATTAAATTCCAAACATTACAACAAGACAGCAACCCATAAATATATCTTTCGCCATTCAATTTATGCAGACTGACAGAATTATGACGCAATTATATAAATACTATATCACCATTTATTCTTAATAAAGATTCTTAGAGCATAAATGCACTTTATTACATCAGGACCCCAAATAAATATACCTTAGATTACTACTAAAAATGGATGCCATCTTTTCCCTTCCTAGAACTGTGATTGAAGATATTTAATCACATTCTTATCAACCTGGAATGCCTTTGTAAGAACATCACGAGAAATGGATGGATCTGATCCAAAAACAGCGTTTGCAATGGTTATGACTCCAGGATTTTGACTGCTTAGACCCGCGAATGCAACTGCCTTCTTCTTCCCAACATTAAACTGGAAATGAATGAGGCCTTCAGGGAAGACAAAAACATCTCCTGGATGTAGTATTTTGGTAAATAGCTTGTTCTTCATGTTTGGATCTGCAGGATTGGAAGTCACGAACCCGACATAGAGAGTGCCTTCGACTACGACAAGGACCTCGGTTGCACGAGGGTGCGTGTGGGGCGGGTTAAGGCCTTGCGGTGCATAGTCTATGCGGACTAAAGAAATGCCAAGGGTATTAAGTCCTGCTAGTTGGTTGACAGTCACCTGAGTCACTCTTGATCCAACTGAATTTGACGTATTTCCAGGCTTGTTGAGACCCGAGAAGTAGAAATCGTCGGCTGTGACCATCTGTGGGTCCTTGCAAATCTTTCCATTTACAAAAACTGCATAAAACGAAGTCATATATAATATGAGTTATATGAATATTGTAAAATATTAGCAATTAAAGAAGCTTGAAATAGATATTTACCGGCAGCATTGGAATCATTGACTGCAACACAGAAATCCTGAAGAGCGCTTGGATCAGAGGCATATACTAATGAAGAAGCCAAACCCACAAGGGCAACGGCCAAAAGGAAGCAAGTGGAAGACTTCATCGCTTAATTCGGATAAAGAAATATCTAAAAAAGTGAAATCTTGATGGAATTAATGACTAATATTGTCTATGGGATAATTGCTTTGATTAGAAACTGCTGGTTTTGATCGGGAAAAAGAAGCCTATATATAGTTCAGTAGCTTTGATTTTGTCATCAAGTTAAAGCAGGTAGTTAAACAACTTTATATTCAAGAATGAACCATTCTTAATTATACTGCTTCTTTTTCTTTGGAAGAAGTCTTTTTTTTGCCCTCTATCAGATGCTCGGTCTTACACTCCATTAAGTATTTAATGTTATTTGTTATTTCCTAATTTATTTAATGGAAAGTTTCTCGCATACGTAAACTGGCAAAAAAGACGGATTCAATGGATATCATATGGACTATTTACTTGTCGTGCCATAAGCAAAGATAAATGCATATTTCGTAAATATGTATTTAGTTTAATTTGAAGGGAAGTCCATGGAATTAATTTTTGGTAGGTGGAAAATGAAAAATGTCTACTTTTCATAAATTTAAATAGAAATGTTCAAAATGGAGAGCAAATATTCTAAGTTGTCATTTTTGCAGAAATGTTAACATTATTGGCAGACCCATATATCATCTATAATAGAGTTAGGGACGTTATTGTGCAATTGTGCAAGCAGATGATGTGCACATCATACAAAGTCTCTGCATAACTCAGTTTCTGTTAGAAATTGTTGACAAATCGTAAAGAATATACATCTTCTTCACACCACAAAATGCGCTTTCCCGTCGAACTATAATATTGCACTTTTGTTGAACAAGACTCGGTAATAACATTAGTTGAAAATTATAGTACTAGTTCAATATTGGATGATATGATTTTCTTTAAACATTGCATTGCTATCAAGGAGTTGTTATATTAGAAAAAAGATTGAGATTTATATATGTTCATTTTGTTTTAAATTCATCACTCATTTTTTTTTACAAATTAGGCTATGGAAATTTACGGATAAAATCATAGCATCATGGATTCAGAAAGGCAAATTTTAATACGTTTGTTTAGATTGTTTTCTTTTGCTAGATCAAATTTCGAAATTTGGAGTGAGTAATTTTTTTTTTATTTTTTAAGTGACAACTCAACAAAATCGCTGGAAATGTTATAGTATGTCCTCTCTATTGAGGGAATTCAATTGCAAAATTTCGACGACAGTTGAATTCCACCTATGAAAACATGTCACTTTCATTTCAATGATTGTAAAGCAAATCAACTTTGGAAGCAATAAATAAGCTGAAAACTTCCTTCATTTAAATGAATTCGTTTTTCGATGAATGAGTGGCTCGAAACTAACATTATATCTCGATATAATCAAAGTCTCAATGAGTCGAAAAGCTTTATAGTTCTATAAATTATTCTATTTTAATATCCGAACATCCAGCAACCAATTGTTCAACTACCAGTTCCAAAAAATTGATGCAAATGTTGTTCTTAGACAACTTAATTGGTGTTCTCCCTGCTAGGAGGGAAATTCGCTAGTGCAATATTGTAGATCGCTATATTCGAAACGTTGTAAAATCTATTCCCATCGATGCCGCCAATAAGAATAGGAATCCACATTCGGAATCATAAAAAAATGTGTAGCTTTCCTCACGTGTGTATATACATATAGAGAGAGAGAGATATGCAACATTTTTGACTATCTTTACACTCTTAAAAAAAAAAAAAAAAAATATCTCTATTTCATAATTTACTATTTTCAAACGGAGGTAAATTTTCTCAACCCCTAATTTATTTTTTAACCATTTCTATTTTTAATTATTTTGGTTTTTTTTTATTGGAATTGGGCTGAAAAATGAAAATATTTTCTTTTAAATATTATATCGAAAAATAGGTTTGACTTGTAAAAGAGCTACTTTCGTGATTTTTTTGGATCGCTTTGCGGAATTGATTTCTCGACCTCAATAGAGAAAAGATTTTTAGAGATTTTTTTTGGGGATATTTTAAATTTTCTCAACCACAAGTCAAAAAATAATTTATAAATTTTTGTTTTCTTATTAATCGCGGATGTGTAACCAAAGGTCCTTAAATGTGTCTTTACTTATTTATTTATTTATTTTGGCAACTAAGCAAATATTATTTTCTGAGTTTTGAATATTCTTGTATATAAAAAAGGTCTTGGAGTCTGTGAATAACGAATTTTGTGGATTTAAATAGATTTCCATAAATTCCATAAGAATCTCCTCAAATATGGTGAAATTTCAAATGATTTGATTATATGTATTTTGAAGTTTGAAATCCACTAAAATCTCGATTTGGAAAACCTAAATAAAATCAGGTTCTCTATATTTGTTGAATGACGTTTCTTTTGATCTCTAGTCAACAACATATAAGAAAGTAGCTTGTGATTATGAATGGCAACGGGACGGGTATGAGACGGGTCGGCTATTCTCACCCTTGTCTCGTCGGGTATTTTTGTTATCTTACCCCATACTCATGCTCGATTAAAGCGGGACGGGGCAAGTCTCCTGCCCCCATTTATCGCCCCATTTATTTTTTCTTTTAATTTTTAATTTTATTTTTTATGTCCTTAATTACTAAATAGTATTACTTCTTTACCAATTTGTTTAAAACAACTTATGTTCTCTTTAAAAATGATGATAAATCTATTATTTTTGTTTGATAGAAACTTAAATTTGAAATTAATATTAAACGGGGCGTGACTATGTTTTCCGTACCCGTCCCATACCAACTTTGGAGCAATGACTCTCGTTCCATACCCATTCCATGTACCCAGTTAGGCGGGTATTACCCTTGAACGGATTTTTTGCCATCCCTACTTGTGGTTTACCGAATAGTGAAAGAAAACTAATTTCACTAGGCTTATGAAATATTATGCTAAGTCTTATTTAATCTTCATGCTCTAATTCAATTTGAGCAACGTTTAACTGGCCATTTTGCAAGATATTTATTTTAACTTCATATTCAAATATTTTGTCATGTTAATGGAGAAGGTTCATATATTTACGAAGGGGCCCTTAAAAATTCATAACAGAATGAAAATATACAAAAGAATAAAAAATGTAAATGTCCAATTAGTTGCCGTTTATGC